TCAATCATTCCTGATTGGTCTTTCCTTCCGTCGCATTGAATTTCAGCATGCTTTGACGCTCCGGATGCTCGTGCGGCTACGTGAGCATAGTGGGTAAAAAATAACCTTGAAGGATTCATGACCCACTCGCTTGCAGAGTTTGAAGCTACGGGCAATCGCGGCAGTCGCGGCGGCAGTTGCTGTAGGCAGTAGCAGTGTAGCAGTGGCAGCAGCACCAGCAGCAGCGGTCGTCATGGTAGACGTCGAAGTCATCGTCGTAGCTGTTGTAGGAGCAGCACGAGGAGGAACGGTAACGATAAAACTACAGGAAGAGGAAAGAGGAACAGTTGCAGCTGGCCTCTTGCACCCGTCCCGGAGGTCCCTCAGAAGTTCGGAAAAACACCTCCCAGCCTGCCACCCAAAACTCTCGACGCTGCAAGTGCGGTACCGTGGGGGCCGAAAAAATTAGGAGCCCCAAGTACGGGGTGAACCTCGTACCATCCTGCGCTCCTTTTCTCGGGGTCGCAGGTTCCTGCGGCGCCGCAGCGTCCTGCAGCCCTTGAGCCGATCTGCGGCTCCGAAAACAAGGATCGCCCCAGGCCCGCAGTGGAGTCTTTTAAGGGAGAGCTTTGGGACAAGGGTTTAGGGTTTAAGGGTTTCAGCACTCACACTCGGACTCACATCGGCGAAGGGTTTAGGGTTTTGGGTTTAGGGTCTGGGATTTACGATCTGGCCTTCGGGAGCCTGGGCAGCGAGAGTCTCCGCTCTGTATATCATTGCAGCAATTGCATAGCGAGGCGTTTGCATCTGTAGCGCCGTAAGAGTTCCATCGCTCAAGTTCACCAGGCTTCCAGCATGGGAACTTCAAGGGAACCCTTACGTCTAGCGAAGGACCTGAAATGCCATAGCACCGACAGCCCTAGAAGTAAACTCAATACCTCAGCTCCGAATCCGGTGACCTCAATAATCGTACTGCACGGCACCGCCCTCAAGCTTCAGCGCTTTGATGCGAAGGCTGATCTTGCCGAGCGTCTCTCCGAGCAATCCGGACGGAAAAGGGAACTTGGTCTTGTAGTCCTGTGACATTTGGGTTCTAGTCTACGGCTGAGCATTGCAGACTCCTTTATGCAACCTCTAGGCTACGGCTAAGAGATTGGTTCGTCCTCTGTGCTCTTGATGCTCAGCGTCTCAGTCGTGCCATCCACGGAGATGTCACAATCAATCTTGCAGCTCTCAGTGCACTGCAGAAAGATGGCCGCGGTGGGTGGGCTGCCCTTTCCGTTGGCACGGCAACAAATCCAAGCCTGAATGCAGAAGTCATAATTCATCGGGCATGAGGTGCTAGGTTTCAGGGTTCGGGATGCTATTTCAAGTCGCAAATCCGAGCCTGAACGTGCTTGGACTCGCTGCCACTCTCCAGATTGATTTTCGGGCTCTCCTTGCAGAATCCTTCTACCAGGTCTTCGCCCGAGAGGTCCCAAATGATGCCACGGCCGTCCCTGGCTTGCACATGTTTCCGCAGGCCCTCCAGCTCTTTGACCAAGCCTTCGGTGCACTTCTTCAGCTGATCAATCGTGGCCTGCTGCTCCTTCACCAGCACCGCCAGTCCTTTGCAAGACCGGCTCGTTGCAGAGAGGAGACCGTTCGAGGCATCGACGTTGAACCTGTCCATGCCGTGCGCCCGGGCGTATGCAGAGTCGGCCTCCTCCTGGAGCCCGGCGGCCTCGAAAACTTCGGCGGCCAGGACTGCAACCCGGGCACCCTCTTGAGGTCGCTTCGAGGCCGAGAGCTGCTCTGCAAGGGACAGGGAGGCTCCTGGCGGAAGCTGCCTGATCTCATGCGGCTCTAAGGCCAAACTGCCGAGCAGATGCTCTGGAACAGTTCGTCTGTCATCAAACAACAACGTCAACAACAGGCATTCTTGCTCTGTCTGGCCCTTCTTCTCCAGATGTCCCAGCAACATGTTCAGCATGCCCCGCGCAGCCTCCGCATTGTTATGGTCCATGTCATACGCAAGGCTAAACACCGATTCTGACTTCTCAGTGCTTCCAAGTGATTCGAAGGCTTTGGCTGCACTGACCGCAATTCGCGACCCTTCCGCCTGTCTTCCTGCCTTGTGAAGCTGTTTTGCTAGAGCTACGGATGTTTCTCGTGCCAACTGCTGTATGTAACTCGGTTCCAGTGAAAGTTTCGGTAGTAGCTCATCCGGAACCCCTCCACCACGATCGTAGAGCAGCTTCAGCAAAACGGGCTCAGCAGCACACTCCACTGAACCCTTTTCCGACACATCTTGGAGCAAGATGTCCAGCAAGTGGTCTTGGGCTTCGTGATCAGAATCCGCGACGAAGGAGCTCAGCAAAGTGAGGCCGTCCTCGGGGCGCCGCTTGAAAAGTTGCATGAGAAGCTCGGCCGGGAATGTCTTGAGGCCTTCCGTCTCCCTTCCCAGACGCAGGTCGGATCTGAACAGCTCCAGAGCCCGAGCGCATGCATCCTCGCGGTTCTTGAGGAAGTACAAAGCCTTGCTCAATACTTCAGCAGACAGGCTCGATAGCTGGATCTTCAACTTTGCATGCAGAGCTGCGAGCACCAACGCTGCACCGTCTACCCAAATACCAGGTTCTTTGCTGAGACGAAGCACAAACTCCCAGAGCCCTCCTGCAATTGCTTCCACCTGACTAGCGAGTTGCTGGCCTTTTTGCTTTGGTTTAGCATCTGCAAGGCCACGCTCTCTTTCCAGCGCTTGGGCCAAGCGACTGGCGAGCTCCCTTTCCAGCATTTCAGCACATGGCAGTACAGGCGGCCCGCGAGCTGAAGCCTGTAGGAAAGCAAGGAAGTCGACTTTCAACTCGCCCAGATGCGAAGCAACATCCCAGGATTCAAAGTTGGCAAGCACTTCTGCAACCGTCTCGGCTGACTTTTCGGGATCCTCAGCCACCAGACTCAGGAGCTGTCGAACTGCACCGCGTCGTGATGCGGATGGCAGAGCAGCCCTCAGCAGCAACAGTCTCAGAAGCGTTTCCCGCGCTACGGAATCCAGGGGCTTGGACTGCACGAATCCCTCTGCTTTCGACAGCAGCTCTTCTGCGATATCAGCCGGCACGGATTTAGCCAGCTCCATGGCTTTTTCGACCGTCGTCTCCATGTAGGTGACGATGGCGGACTTCTTGTCGTGATTCGGAAGGACCTCCAGGCATGAGATGGCTTTCATGCGAAGCCGGCATGACACCATGGCGAGCAGCAATCACGTGACTTTGCATTCAATCAGTGTGCACGATGCCCCTGCCTGGATACCCATTGCCTGGTTGGTCATCGGGCTGCATCGCTTGCTTCGCAATGCCTCCTCGATCGCTTTCTTCTCATAAGTGTAGCCGTCCTTCGTATCAAGAGGATTTGAACCCTCAGCCCCGTCGTAAATCAAGCGAAACGGTGGGGTGGATGCGCTTCTATTTTGGGGTCGGCAGACCACAGATGGTTCTCATGCAAAGAACTTCGGACGAGAACGCTGAGACCACTGAGATCACCCCATCGGAAGATACGTGCAGCATCATGCAGAACCACAGCCATGACCAGGAGACAACTTTGCTGTAGAGTCTGAGAGCATTTACACTTCCCGCCCCTCTGCAAAGTACCAAGTGCGTAGCGGATTAGCAATCGCAAAATCCGGCGATCCTCGGCCACGAACGGATGCTCCATCAAGGTTTTGCCGATGGGGCACAGCAAGTCATCAGGGTCCCGTAGAAGGCGCTTAGCCTCAGGAGCGGTCTCTGAGACACTGTCCTTTCTACTCTCAGCTCCCCGGCATTATGCGACAAGCCGAGACGCTTCTTCCTGGCTGTTGGTGTCGACTTCTGGTTCAAGTTTTGCAGAAGCCTTCAGCTCGTCGCTTTCCTGGTGCTGGTTGAGCCTCGCCGTCACGTCCTCCGAACTCAACCCGACGTATTCCCCGATCTTCTTCGTGCTCAAGCCATCTTTGCCTTGGGCTTTGTCAGATAGGCCTATGACCCAGAATCCTGACATTTTCCTGACATGTCCACAACTACAACACACGAGCTAACTGAAGCCAAAGAAATTTACCTCAAGCCGAACTGCGCATGCGGTGCATGGAGTGTAGGAGGGTCTTTTCCTCGCGAAAGCAGGGTTTCAGCTTGAGGGCTCAGAGTTCATGTTCAAGGTGTTGGGCGGCGGGTCTCCACTCTCATGTTCACACATTTTAATGGCATGCTGGGTGTAGAGCTTCTGAACCTGGGGTGTTGGGTTGAGGGTTTCGGATGTTGGGTGCTGAGATATCGATCAAAGTCTTGGGTTTGGGCAGTAGCATCAATGCTGATTGAGAAGGCTGGGCGGGGAAGGGAATTCCGACACCGAAGCTCGAGGGTGGAGCCAAGGTTGGACAAGGGTCGGGATTCGGGGAATGTCTGCATAATCACGGGAGTACAAGTATGTAAACATGCATGCATGCATACATTCATTCTTACAATTAGTATATGCGTAGATGTCTATTTACATGTTCTATATACACTGATGATATACACAGACATGTGTATATATATATACATAT